ACCAACAACAATACTACCACCACCACATCAATACCAACACCGTACTACAAACACCACTACACCAACACCACCGCTGCATCAATACCAACACTACCACCACCACACCAGTACCAACACCACACCAATACCAACACCGTAACGCAAGCACCTCTCCACTAACACCACCACCGCACCAATACCAACACCAATACTACCACCAATACCACCACCACCACTACCACACCAACACCACAGCACAAACAGCACTACACCAACACCACCACCACACCAGTACCAACAGCGGTACTACCAATACCACCACCACCGTTACCACACCAGTAACTACACCAACACCACCACCACACCAGTACCAACAGTACCAATACCACCACTACCAATACCAACACCATAGCACAAACACCACTCCACCAGCACCAGTACCACACCGGTAGCACCGGTACCAACATCCAATACTACCACCAGTACCACCATCACTACTGCACCAACACCACCACCACACCAGTACCACCACCACGCCACCTCAAGGAGCACCGGGACCCACACTCTCTCCCTCTCCCCGCAGGGAACACATCTCCCACCCAGAAGGAGCCGACCCCCTTCATCATCGAGTGGATCCCCAACATCCTGCCCCAGGCCCGCATCGGGGAGCTCCGCATCAAGTTCCAGTACGGGCACCACGGCAGCCCCCGGCCCAGCGCCCGCCACCGGCCCCCTGGCACCATGGAGCAGGGGCTGGAGCTCACCCCACTCAGCACCATCCCCTTCTCGTGAGCCCCCCCAACAGCACCACAGGGACAGGGCACGGGAGCCCCCACAGAATAAAGCTCACGCTCACCCCATGCCCTGAGCCTCCTGCACCCACCACGGGGGAGGAAAGATGGGGGGGTTCACTGAGGGGGGATCTGGGGGCTGAAAGGGACCCCAAGGGTCTCCACACCCTGCAGAGCCCAGGAGCTGCAGCACAGCCTGGGAGGAAAGAGGGGCACCCAGCCAGGGCCAGCAGCAGCCCTGGCAGAGCACAGGGCCCATGGTAAAACCATCACCACCTCCAAAACAAAGAGGGGACCCCCTCCCCACCCCATTTCATCCCTTGCTCCATCCATCCCATCCCATCCATCCTCCAGCAGAACCCAGGACTCCCATCTTCAGCATAGGGTGGCTGCAGGCTGAGGGACTGGCTGGATCCAGCCAGGCTCTTTTCCAACCTTGCTGATTCTGTGAGTCTATGGTGGATGGAGAGTGTGGGATGAAGGATGCAGGATGGAGGGATGCAGAGTGGAAGATGTGGGATGGAAGGTATGGTATGAGGGATGCAGGATGGAGGGATGCAGAGTGGAAGATGGGGAATGCGGGATGGAAGGTTTGGTATGAGGGATGCAGGATGGAGGGTTTGGTATGAAGGATGCAGGATGGAGGGATGCAGAGTGGAAGATGTGGGATGTGGGATGGAAGGTTTGGTATGAAAGATGCAGGATGGAGGGTTTGGGATGAAGGATGCAGGATGGAGGGATGCAGAGTGGAAGATGTGGGATGATGCGGGATGGAAGGTTTGGTATGAGGGATGCAGGATGGAGGGATGCAGAGTGGAAGATGCGGGATGAAAGGTTTGGTATGAAGGACGCAGGATGGAGGGTTTGGTATGAAAGATGCAGGATGGAGGGTTTGGGATGAAGGACGCAGGATGGAGGGATGCAGAGTGGAAGATTTGGGATATGGGATGGAAGGTTTGGTATGAGGGATGCGGAACAGAGGATGCACTAGGAAGGGTGCAGGATGCTGCCTGCAGGTGCAGGGTATGGCAATAGATGGAGCCTGCCTGTGGCAGCTCCATAGAGGAACTGTGGCCGGATCCAGGACAACTCCAAGGGGCTGGAATCAGGGGGCTCAGCCCTGACACAGGTCGGTGCCTGCCCTGCTTGTCCCATGCTTTCCAAAGCAGCAGAGGCTGCGTCCAGGGATGGGGATGGGGACCTAAACCCCGGAACAACCCCGCACCATAGGGAAAGGCCCAGGCCCTTCCAGCAACAAAGCTCTGCCCTGTTGGGTACCAAAATGGGATGGAGGTAGTGGGATGGGGAAGATTGGGATGGAGGCAGCAGGATGGAGAAGGGAGAGATGGAGGAAGCAGGATGGGGAAGGGAGGGATGGAGGCAGCAGGATAGGGAAGGGCAAACGGGGAGGGGGGGGAGGCGGGGTGGGGAAGGGGAGGGGATGAGCGAAAGCGGGATGGGAAGGGAACAGGATGGGAAGGGAGGAGGAGGCAGCGGTGGGGGGAGGGAAGGGCAGGATGGAGGCAGCGGGATAGGGAAGGGCGGGATGCAGGCAGCGGGATGGGGAAGGGTGGGATGGAGGCAGCGGGATGGGGAAGGGAGGGATGGAGGCAGCGGGATGGGGAAGGGCAGGATGCAGGCAGCGGGATGGGGAAGGGCAGGATAGAGGCAGTGGGATGGGGAAGGGAGGGATGGAGGCAGCGGGATGGGGAAGGGAGGAATGGAGGCAGCGGGATGGGGAAGGGAGGGATGGAGGCAGCGGGATGGGGAAGGGCAGGATGGGGAAGGGAGGGATGGAGGCACAAGGTTCTCTGTCATCCTGCAATAATTTATTCTCTAACAACAGTCAGAACAGTCCAACGAGACAGAACTACCCCTGTACCCAGCAAACGCCTGCTCAAACACGTGCTCCAACAGGCGTGTGCCAACTGTAGCAAACAGCACCATCAGATGGTCCTGACACAGCACTGGGGATGACGATGGGGTATTTACAGCAGGACCAGAACGGCTGGAAAGAGAATTCCCATCTCCCGGCTGGCGGAGCCGGAGCGGGATCAGCTTCTCGGGAAGCAGAAAGATGAAATGAATGCAACAGAAAAGGTGGGAAAGCACCAAATGTGACCCCAAACAAAAGCCCAACAAACCCCAACCCAACGCGGCGATGGCTCTGGTGAGGGTGTTCCAATGGCTCATTGGCTGGATAAAGCAAGAGGATGAAACTAACCTTGTGGCTTTCAGCAGTGAGGAGGTGATGATTCCCGGGAAGCACAGGGCTTGGATACAGTGCTTTTCCTTGTGTCCAGCCCCAAAACAGCTCCAAACAAAGGTGGGTGATGCCCAAACCCATCGCTATAGGGTGACAAAGCAGGCAGCAAAGCCTCTGGAGAGACCCCCATTCCCATCAGCTTCCCGTTCCCTGCCTGGAGTTGGGTCTCACCTCCCTTAATGGTGGTTTGGGATGAGGATCAAAAAAGGCAAAAGGAAACTAACCCAAAAAAGCATGTTTTCAACCCAGGTCTGTGCCACAACCATCGTAAACGTGGGGCGAGTGAGCAGCTCCTCACCCCCTCTTGTGAATCCCCATCTACGCAAGTGTCCTACCTGCAGCTTAGCTCTTAGGAATGCTGGTGGATCAGTGAATTCCAAGGGAAAGGCTGGGAAAGGGGGGACCAAAGCCGCTGCAGACGGTCCCGGCTGCTCACCAGGAATCCAGCGCCGCGTTTCCAGCCCCAGTCCAGGTTAGTGCATCCGTTGGAGGGTTCCTGTTTCTCTTTGCCCTCAAGCTGGAGTGGGATCATCCCAACAGTGCAAAGGTAGGGATAGAAAGAAGAGAGCAAGAAGGTGGAGGGTAACAGAGACAACACTGAGAGAACCAGTAAGTGATGCTGAGCTGAAACCTCGAGACCCGAAACCTCAGCCTCTTCCTACCTCCCGTTCAACCCTTCCCTGCTCAGAGGTAGTGCGATGCGGAGCTCCATTGGGAATGCCAAGGTGGTTCCAGAAGAGGGCAAGGGAGGGCTCTCGGCAAGCAAAGGGCTGATATTCCACTTCCTTTTTATTGTGCTTTGCCACTTTCTGCCTTGAAAGCTCAGGTGCCAAAGGCTGGATGCTGGGATTTGGGAATGCCGATGCTGAAGGCATCCGGATCCATGCTGGATGTTGGAAAACTCCAGCTGCTTTAAACCAAGTAATCCTCCATGGCTTTGGCTTTCCTCTCTTAAAACCCAGCAGAAAGAGCTGAGATTTGGGAGACTGCAGTGATTTGGCAGCTCCATCCCCTATCCTCCTGCTGCTCAGAGGCTTCAAGTGATCCAGACCCAGATTTGGGATGTTAATAAGGAAATCAAAGAAGGAATAAAAAGGAAATAAACCAGGAATTGAGTTGGGATTTTCTCCATTTCCCTGCACTTTGGTGGCTTCACTTGGAGAAATCCTGGAAGAACGAAGGGGTTCCTTGCCCAGTGCTGGAGCCCAACAGGGATCAAGAGGTTTGCTGCGGGGTGGAAAAGACCTTTGCCCGGCTCGAGGAGAAAGGAAACATCTCCATTAGCAGACCCCTATGTGTAAAGCATCCAGAACATCCATAAAAGCACAAAGTCCTAAGAAGGTCACCTCTAGAACATAGGAAAATGAATAAACACTGCTTAGAGCTCCTGTGCTCTCCCAATTGGGGCCCTGGGTCCTTCTTGGCACATTCAGGTTTGTGTCCCTTAAGGCAGCGACCAGAATCCTCCAGGAGCCCCTTGGAGTGCCCAGGAGATCGCTGCTGGATGGAGAAGTGCTTGGGATGGGCTGGTTATTGCTGCGCCATCGCTTGTGTGAGACACGAGGCATCGTCTGTGTGGGGTTTGTGCTAAAGGGATGGAGGTAATCTCTGTTCATCTCTCCGAGGTAGAAAAACATCTTGTCCCAGAGACAAGAAGCGCGGAAAAGGGAATTCCAGGAGCCACAAGGGATGGGGACAGGATACGCTGTTTGGTTTTAGGTAGGACACAAAGCTTCCCAGAATGAAAGCATCCGACCTGAGAAGGGTGCCAAGGACCCAGTGCTCCCCGAGCAGCATTCCTGCTGTGAGGAAGTGGCTCTGGGAATGTGGCAGGCCTGGGCTGTATATGGCTGTGCTGCTCCCCTGGATATTTAGAGTCGGTGGGGATGAACCCCCCTGACTAACACTGGCAGTGCAATCCCAAGACACAACTCACCTCCATTCCCTATGGATCTAAACTAAACGAGTGTCTGGCTCCCAAAAACCCCTACATTTGGGCCCTTCCATCAACTACTGGGATGTGATATCTCCAGGCAAATACGGAGTAGATCTGGAATACCAGGCAGTGACAGCACCAGGGAGGGTTTTGGAGGTTGCTCTTACTGCTGTGATACCCTCAGGTGCTTCCAAATGTGCCTGGAATGTGGGAATCTCATAGAGAGAAGCTTCTGGATGGGAAGAGGAGCTCCAGGGAGCCGCTCACCACCCCCAGCCCCAAGTGGCATTTTGGGACTCGAGTTCCAACCAGTTTGGCTTCCTTTTGGTCGGTGCTCCAGGAAGGTTGTTGGATGTGCAAGAGAAGGATGGGAAAGGCCCGGTGTGCTACCTAACAGGATCCAACGGGAAAGAGCCAGGCCTGAAACAACCACGGGAGTTGCATCTTATGGCCCAAGAGAGGGTTTGCAGTCGCTCTGCAGCTTGAGCCTCTTGATGCCGGAGCTGGAATACCCCTCATCGCTGCAGGCGCTCCGCAGGCTCCCCCTCTCATCCGAGTCGCTGCTGCTCCAGTCGAGGTCTGCAGGGAGCTCGTCCGTGCTCTCCACATCCACGTCCAGCTCCTCTGCAAGAGCCAAGAGCAGCAGGGTTAGAGCAGGGCCCGGCAGAGCTCCCTCCCCTCCATCCCCAGCACCGGCTCCCACCTCCATCCCAGTCGGAGCGCTCGGAGGAGACGCTGGAGCCGATGCTGTCCGTCCTGATCCTCTCCGTGCCCAGCTTCGCCAGCCGCCTCCGGAGGTGCCGCTGCTCCCGCTGCAGCTGCTCGATTTGGTGCGTGGCTTTCCTGTCGTCCTCTTCAAGCTTCTGCAGGGGAGGACACGGAGAGAAGGCAGCCTGAGATCCCAGTGTGATCCTGATGATCCCAGCATGGTCCTGAGATCCCAGTGTGATCCCGATGATCCCAGCGTGATCCTGATGATCCCAGCCTGATCCTGAGATCCCAGTGTGATCCTGATTATCCCAGCCTGATCCTGAGATCCCAGTGTGATCCTGATGATCCCAACCTGATCCTGAGATCCCAGTGTGATCCTGATGATCCCAACCTGATCCTGAGCTCCCAGCATGATCCTGATGATCCCGACCTGATCCTGAGCTCCCAGCATGATCCTGAGCTCTCAGCCTCCAGCCACATGTGAAATGTCCCTTTTGCTATCTAAGCCACCTAAACACAGCTACTGAGTGCCTCCCTGGCTTCAACACGGGATGTCAAGCCCATGGAACCAGCCAGGTTGGAAAAGCCCTTTAAGCTCATCCAGTCCAACCATTCCCAGCACTGCCAAGGCCACCACTAACCCATGGCACTGAGGCCTCAGCTCCACGGTGTGTGAACACCTGCAGGGATGGTGACTGCAGCCCTGCCCTGGGATGCTTTGGTTCAACTTTAATCCATGAGGATGCTCAGGGGCTGGAGCAGCTCCCGTATGGACCCAGGCTGAGAACACTGGGGCTGGAGAAGAGAAGCTGCGTGGAGACCTCAGAGCAGCTTCCAGTGGCTGAAGGGGGCTACAAGGATGCTGGAGAGGGGCTCTTCCTCAGGGATTGTAGGGATGGGACAGGGGGTGATGGGTTCAGACTGAAACAGGGGAAGTTCAGGTTGGGGATAAGGCAGAAGCTCTTCCCTGTGAGGGTGCTGAGGCGCTGGCACAGGGTGCCCAGAGAAGCTGTGGCTGCCCCATCCCTGGCAGTGTTCAAGGCCAGGTTGGACACAGGGGCTTGGAGCAAGCTGCTCCAGTGGAAGGGGTCCCTGCCCGTGGCAGGGGTTGGAAGTGGATGAGCTTTGAGGTCCCTTCCATCCCAAACCAGGCTGGGATTCTGGGATTGCATCTCCACCGTGGGTGGGTTCAGCAGCACCCAAGCCCCTGCTCACCTTGATGTACAGTTTGGCCTTCCTGAGCAGGCTCAGGGTGGTGTGCCTGCTGTCCTTGGGCCCGAGCGGGACCTGCCTCTTCAGCTTCTCCAAGCAGAGCCGCAGGTGAGCTCTCCTGCAGGCAGATCACAACAGAGCCATCAGGTTCCCAGTTGGGAGCGCTTCCTTTCCCTGTGTTTCATAGGAAACGGCCGGATCTGGATCTGGATCCATCCCCTTGGCACACAGCAACCACAAAACCAGGTCCCTGAGGGATCACCAGCCCTGAGCATCCCCAGGCTCCTCAGGCACCTGGATCCCTCCCTCTGTGTGTGGCTGCAGCAACCCTAACCCTTTACCACTGCAAAGGGCAAAGCTGGCTCCTCCAGAAGCCCCTTCCTCCATGGAGAACCCAGGTGACGGTCACATCCTCAGGCACCATCACAGCACCCACCTGTGGTGTGCAGCATCAGCACAGGCAGCCACGAGCTGGGGTTTGGCACGTTCCTGCCTATCTTGCTTTGGGTGTGCAAGGGGTAAAGAGGCACCTGCCTGCACAAAGGAATGCCTGAGTCCCAATGCAAACAGAACACGAGGTCCTTGCTCCTGAGCACTGATGGGCTCAGAGATGAGGAGTGATTGAGAGCAGCCCCAGGAGAAGGACTTAGGGGGGTTGGTCAATGAGGAGCTCCCCATGAGCCAGCCTGAGCCCAGACCCCCCATGCGCTGGGCTGCAGCCCCAGAGTGTGAGGGAGGGGATCCTGCCCCTCTGCTGTGTGAAGGGGAGACCTCAGAGCAGCTCCAGTGCCTAAAGGGGCTGCAGGGAACCTGGAGAGGGGCTTGGGACAAGGGCCTGTAGGGACAGGCCAAGGGGAATGGCTTGAACCTGCCCGAGGGGAGACTGAGCTGAGCTCTTAGGCAGAAGCTCTTCCCTGTGAGGGTGCTGAGGCGCTGGCACAGGGTGCCCAGAGAAGCTGTGGCTGCCCCATCCCTGGCAGTGTTCAAGGCCAGGTTGGACACCGGGGCTTGGAGCAAGCTGGTCCAGTGGAAGGGGTCCCTGCCCGTGGCAGGGGTTGGAGCTGGAGGAGCTTTAAGGTCCCTTCCAACAAAACCAGGCTGGGATTGGTGGCCCCCAGCACTCCACAACCTGGGACTTCCAGGTATTAAGCAAAGGAGGGTGTTTAATCTCTGCCTGGATTGAAGCTCAGCTTCCCAACCTGTTCATGGCATCATGGAATCAGCCAGGTTGGAAAAGAGCTTCAGGATCATCCAGTCCAACCATTCCCCAGCACTGCCAAGGAAACCACTCACCCATGGCACTGAGGGGGTGTGAGCACCTGCAGGGAGCCTGTTCCAATGCCTGAGCACCCTCTGGGGCAGGAATTGTTCCTCAGCTCCATCTAAACCTGCCCTGGGGCACCTTGAGGCCGGTTCCTCTTGTCCCATCCCTTTGGAGCCTGCTCCTGGCTCCATCCTCCTGTCAGGCACTTGTAGGGAAGGGATGGGAAGGACGGAGCACTCAGCACCCACCTGTGCAATGAGCCAACACGGTTTCAACACAGCTCTGCTCTACCCAAGGCAAGTGGGTGCCAGGGGATGCCACTTGGTGGCCACTTCATCCAGCTGCCTCAGCCCTGCCCTCCTGCTCTGCATCTCAGCGCCTCCCTGGCTCCCGACCCTCATTCCCAACCCCTGGAATAGCAGCGCTTCACCCAAACCCTTACCTGTTCTTTTCCATCTCACTGTGGGTCGACCTGGAAGAGAAAGAACCGATCATTAACTCCTGTCTGACTGGGGACACCACCATCAGGATTAACAGGACCGCCTTCATCAACATTCCCTGGAGAACTTGGGAGCTTCCAGAGCCACTCGGTACCCTGGGGACAGTGAAAGCAGCAGAAAGGGATGCAGATGGCTCAGTATAATGGAGAAATTCCAGGATAACTGGCAATGAAGGGCCAGTAAAACCTATGGGCTCTGGGAGCGCTGGTTTGCCACAGAGCCTGATCCTGAAGGGAAAATAAGGGATGCCCCAAAGACACTTGCCGGAGTCTTCACCATCAGCATTTTGGGATGCTTGGGAAGCCAGCACAGCCTTTCTGATGCTCATCCTGGTTCCTTGGGGTTTGCTTCCTGGTGGCACAGCTTGAAGCAACCTGCTCCCAAAGAGCCCAGGATCACTCAATCCCAAGGGAGAAGCTTCTCACTTAGACAGGCGCTATCCTGACACACAAGGGAATGGCATCTGCAAGCAGCCAGGAAGGACTCAGGTCTTTGGCTCCCACGGGATCTCTCCATGACTCTTTCCTCTGGATAAAATCCCCCCTGAGCCTTTCAGCACCGCCTGCGAACCTGACTGGGGTGAAACCAAGCTCTTCCCTTGGTCATAAAGCAGAGAATCCCCGAATCCCAGCCTGGTTTTGTTGGAAGGGACCTTAAAGCTCACCCAGTTCCAACCCAAGCCACGAACAGGGACCCCTTCCATAGAGCAGCTTGCTCCAAGCCCCTGTGTCCAACCTGGCCTTGAGCACTGCCAGGGATGGGGCAGCCACAGCTTCTCTGGGCACCCTGTGCCAGCGCCTCAGCACCCTCACAGGGAAGAGCTTCTGCCTTATCTCCAACCTTAACTCCCCCTGTTTCAGTCTGAACCCATCACCCCTTGTCCTATCCCTACAGTCCCTGATGCAGAGCCCCTCTCCAGCATCCTTGTAGCCCCCTTCAGACACTGGAAGCTGCTCTGAGGTCTCCACGCAGCTTCTCTTCTCCAGCCCCAATGTTCTCAGCCTGGCTCCATTCAGGAGCTGCTCCAGCCCCTGAGCATCCTCGTGCCCTCCTCTGCACTCCCTCCAACAGCTCCATGTCCTCATGCTGAGGACCCCAGAGCAGCTAGGGTGAACCTGCGTTGAGGCTCTGGCTGGATTCTGGGGATGATAACTGAGGAATTCCCCAGGAAAGCAGCACTCAGGGATCGAATCCAACCCCGAGCCTGGTTTCGCTTCCCAAGCTTCAGCAGCGCATGCCTGAAACCAAAGGCCCAACTTCCCCATTCCCTGCCACAAACCCTCCCGCTGCCTCAGACACTTGTGTCTTTCCAACTCCAATTTGCCCAAGGCAGGAGATTGCCCCTCACATCCCACTGGGATGCTCCGGATGGACCAGCCCAGCCTGGGGCGTTGGGTGCTGGTGGGGACCTGTTGATGGAGCTGGGATGGGGATGGGGGGGAGGACTATGGGGCTTTGTGAGGGCAGAGCCCCAGCACCAAGGGACAGGAGGGTCCCATCCAGCCCTGCTGGGCACCCCATAGCAGTGAGATGTCACCCTGCTCGGTCACACGGTGACAGGGGAGTCCCCATTCCATGACAGTGGTACTGGAGCCATGGTGATGGAAGGGTCCCCCCCAGTGCTTCCATGTGCCTTGTGCCAGCAGGACCTCACTGCATCCCAAGCACCTAGTGACAGCAGGATGTAACCCAGCTTGGTCACTGGGTGACCAGGGAGTCCCCATCCAGTCACACACCCCATGCCAGCGGTACTGGAGCCTCAGCACCCCTCTGACAGAAGGGTCCCATGCAGCCCTGCCCTGCACCCCGACAGTTCAACCCTACCGCACCGCAAGCACACGCTGACAGCAGGTCTCCCCCCCCCCACCACACACCCATTGCACTGGGCCCGGCCGCAGGACCCCCCCCCCCCCCATGGCGGCCTGTCCCTGATCCTCGAACCCCCGCTCCCCCCCGTTACCTGCCCCTGCCGCCGCCGCCGCCGCCACCGCTCCTCCTCCGGGCCTTTCCGCGGCGCTGCCCGGCCTCCCCGTCCTTCCCGCCGGGCAGCAGCGACGCGTACCCGTGCTCGGCTTCTGAGGAGACACAACCGGTGAGGGCCGGTGAGGGCCGGCGGGGCCCGGGGGTGCCCGAGGGGGACGGCAGGGGGCAGGGGTACCTCGCTCCCGGCGCTCCAGGTACTCGGCGGCCTCCAGCAGCAGCTGGATCCCGATCCCGCCCCCGCCGGAGGCCGCCATCGCCTGAGGGGAGGAGAGGGCCAGGCCCGGCCGGGAGCGGCGGCGGCGGCGGAGCAGCAACAGCGGCTGTGTCCGCCTCAACCGGCCGCTCCGCCAGGCCCCGCCCTCTGCCACCGCTCATTGGTGGACACCTCACCCGCGGCGTTGCTCATTGGAGGACGCCTGGAGGACGCCCCGCCCAGCACCAGCACGAGACGGCAGGGTGGGTGGGTTGGGGGGACCTGCTCCTCAAGCCCCGCCTCCCTCGCGCTGTCATTGGATGAGCGCGCCACGCCGTCTGGCCCGTTGGACACACCCTCCCAACCGCCTCGCCCTATTGGGAGGCACGAGGGGCCACGCCTCGCCAATGGCGAGGCCGCAAGAGGAAAAGGGGCGGAGCCTCAGCTGCAGGTGATGCTCATTAGCAAAGGGCGTTAATTACCTAAGGGCGGCAGCATACAGGGTATAGGGCACTCGGATGTAGCAAACAGCAGCTAGGCTATCCAAAATAAGCCAAAAAAGGGGTTTTTCCCCCCAGTTTGAGCGCCTCAATGAGGTGCTGTTGCGGCCCCACGTGGTTTGATTGAGTTCTAGAAGCTTCTAATTGAAGACTATTAAAGCAAGAATTAAAAGTACTAATATTTACACAGGGTTTTATTGAAATGCCAGAAAATAAGAGGGAAAATACGATGGAATCCCAGCGAGAAATGACCCATGGCAGGTATTGTAATGACAAATAAGGAGGGATTCCAGGACGTGCTTTGGGGATGATGGATTTGTTGGGAATAACCCCAAATCCCCCCAAAATCCGGGCTCTGGGAAGTGAAATCCTGCTCGGTGCCAGCGCAGCATCAAGCGATGAAATCCAGGGGTCTGTTGAATCCTCCTTTCCTGTTCATGTACTGCCTGTGGATGGAGGGAAAGAACAGTCATCAGCAAATCCACATGGAAACAAACACCCCTGATGGTACCCAGCAGCACCAAGGGAATGGAATTCCCTGTGGATTTACACATATAAGGGCAGAAAACCTCCCACCAAGGCAGCGCTGGGGTAGTCTGAGGACATTCCAATTGGAAAAAGGAAGGCCTTGCAATGCACAAACCTGTATTTCCTCTTCTGCGACACGTTGATGGCGTACGCGTTCGCGGCACCGTCCACCTTCTTCCCCTGTAAGGGATGAGTAAAAAGAGGTCCTAAAACTGTGCAGGGCCTGGAGCACAGGGGTGATGGGGAAGGGCTGAGGGACCTGGGGGGTTCAGATGGAGAAGAGAAGGCTCAGGGGGGACCTGATGGCTGCCTACAGGTGCCTGACAGGAGAATGGAGCCAGGAGGGGCTGGGCCCTGCTCCCAAGGAACAAGGGGTGGGACAAGAGGAACCGGCCTCAAGCTGCACCAGGGCAGGTTTAGATGGAGCTGAGGAACAATTCCTGCCCCAGAGGGTGCTCAGGCATTGGAACAGGCTGCCCAGGGCAGGGCTGCAGTCACCGTCCCTGCAGTTGTTCACACACCCTCAGTGCCATGGGTTAGTGGTGGCCTTGGCAGTGCTTGACGAGCTTAAAGCTCTTTCCCAGCCTGGATGATTCCATGATTCTATTCTATGAGCATCCCCCCAAAAAGGGCACAACGAGCGCGCCAGAGGTGGCTGCAGGCTCCATCGTGCTCACCCACACTCACTTTTGTCGTGTCAAAGGAGGCAAAGCCCATCATTTTCATCATCTCGATCTCCTCTTCCGTCTTGCCCTGCAGATCCTCCTCTGCCAAGGCAATGGAATGAAAGAGCTGGATAAAAGCAGCCATCAGGCTGTGACAAGAGCACGTTAAAGCCGCACCAATCCCAGCCTCACTGGGGCCATATTTAAGGAGGAAAACCCAATTCCCTTACCCGTGATCTGCCGCTCTTTGCCTTTGGAGTCTTTTATCTCCTTCTTCTCCTCATCCCGCCTCTCCTTGAGCCGCGGGGGGGAGGATGAGCTGGAGCGGTGCCGTCGCGGTGACCTGACGTTACAAACACAGGCGTTATCCACATCCCGCTTCCCAGCGCGGCCCCGCACTGTGGGCTCATCCCAGCCCCTCACCTGGAGCGTCGCCGGTGCGGGGAGCGGGAGCGGCTCCTCCTCCTGTCCCTATCCCGCGACCGGGATCGCTCCCTGCGCCGCCGCTCCCTGTCCCGGGAGGCGGATCGGGAACGCCTGCGCTCTGCACTGGGAAAAACCAGGGTCAGTTCCTGCTTCCTCAGCCCTCCTGGGTGCAAACCCCACTGGTGGGATCACACAGGAGCCAGGCTGAGAGCATCGGGGCTGGAGAAGAGAAGCTGGATAGAGAGCTCAGAGCAGCTTCCAGTGTCTGAAGGGGGCTACAAGGATGCTGGAGAGGGGCTCTTCATCAGGGACTGTAGGGATAGGACAAGGGGTGATGGGTTCAGACTGAAACAGGGGAAGTTCAGGTTGGAGATAAGGCAGAAGCTCTTCCCTGTGAGGGTGCTGAGGCGCTGGCACAGGGTGCCCAGAGAAGCTGTGGCTGCCCCATCCCTGGCAGTGTTCAAGGCCAGGTTGGACACAGGGGCTTGGAGCAAGCTGCTCCAGTGGAAGGGGTCCCTGCCCATGGCAGGGGCTGGAGCTGGATGAGCTTTAAGCTCCCTTCACCCCTACCCGGGCTGGGACCCTGTGCAGTGACATCTCCCATACGGAAACCCCACACATCCCCACCAGCACCCCCAGAGCCGGGAATGGCGGCACGAACCCCCCTTCCTTCCCCAGCCCTGTGGTGCTCAACCCGCCCGCGGACCGCTCCCTACGGGGCCGGTGTGTGCGGCAGGAGCAGGAGGATAACGGGGCCCACCGCGGCCTCACCGCCCTCACCACCATGGGCCGGGGGAAGCCGCAGGGCCCGGCCCTACCCCCGGTTCCTCGCCCGGATCCATGCATCCCTCCCCGGGCCCAGCCCTGTGCCCGCTCCCGGAGCCCCCAGCCCGATCCCAATCCCGGTCCTGCTCCTGAAGCCCCCAACCCGATCCGATCCCGATCCCGGTCCCGGTCCCGGTCCCCTCCTCACCGCGCCGCGGCGGCGAGCGGGAGCGGCTGCGGCCCATGGCCGCCCCTCAGCGCCTCCACTTCCGGCTTCCCCCGGCAACCGGTGCCACCGCCTTTTGGTTCCGCAGCCAAAACGTTCCGCCCCCCCCTCCCTCCATACGCCCCATGGCAACGGGGCTGAACCCATCCCCATCCCATTCCCATCCCCATCCCCATCCCCATCCCCATCCCATTCCCATCCCCATCCCCAGCCGGGTGTGAGCCCCAGCCCCACAACCCCAGCCCCACAACGGGGCCAGTCCGTCCCCCCCCCGAAGCTCGGCAGCGCTGGAGGTGCCAAACACGGGGTTTATTTACACACAGCGATTGTCGGACACCGGCGCTTGCCCTCCCCTTGGTCCCCCCAGCGGCAGAGCCCCCTCTCGGCTTCATCACCTGCATCCCCGATGGGACCCTCCCCAGTCCGTAGAACCCCATCATCATCATCATCATCATCATCATCATCCTCATTGCCCACGTTGGAACTGGCCTCTCCTCTTCAATGGGGATGCAGGTGATGGGCAGCAATGGGCGCCTCTTGGAGCAATGGTTTGCATCCAGGGATGCGTTCCCTGTTCCCTGCCACAAGATTCCCACATCCCACAGCCTGCGGCTGGAAGGAGAAGGAAGCAGCGAGCCAATGGGCTGCAACAGTGGGTAAAACGCTGGTAGGGGATAGAGTGAGAGTTATCCTTGTGATCCATGTTATCCAGAGGATGGGGTGGTCCCAGGGATGCCCTGACAAGTCATGTCAATGTAACCCTGTATCTGCAGCGAGGACCAGCATCATGGTGATGTCTATTTGACCTGCTGAAGGCATCACTACCTCTTGCTTCCCTATGCTGCATGGGATGCTTGACGCACCCCAGGATTCCAAGTGGGGAAATAAATCCCTGCCTCCTCTAAAACCCCCTGGAGAACAGGAATTGCACAGCCCATGGATACAGAGCATCGCAGGGGGGTGCGGCAGTGTTGTAATGAGCCAACCATGGCATCCCGAGAGGCAGCACAGCCATCCCTATGGGGGTTTGTGGCTTGGGACACGCAGGCTCCATGGCAAAGGGGCCCCAAAGAGCTTTGGGACCAGTGGCAGTTAACAACATCCCATGGGAAATGGGTATGGAGCTGCGGGGAGCATCTCAATGGCTGATATAAAGGTGATGGGCGCTGCTTGTCCTCATGGATGGTGAATGTGGGAGCTCAGGGTCCCCTCTTTTGAGCCCTGGACCTGATGTTTTACTCTCCAACTCACTCACCCTGCAAGGAAAACCCATCCTGCATTCCCAAACCTCCTCCCTTTGGCTTTCTGCTCTTCCAGAAGGGAACACAAAGCAAAAAGGCTTTGAAAACCTGGTGGTGGCATGTGGGAATATGGGATTGGGGTGAGGAAACGCAGAGCCCATGGATCCAGGACCCGCAGGAAGCCCTGTCCCCATGGAGATGGCAAATCCCTGTGTGTTGGAGGAGGATAGGGGCTGATCCATCGGTTTTGTCCCCTTAATACCAGCATTGGAGCAGCGTCAGGACAAAGCATCGCTGGGTCTCATGTTCCCTTTGGGCACGGCCGGGAGGTTGGAATGATGGTCATGTCTCTGTATGGAGAGCTGGAGGCGAGGCTGGGCCGCAAGGAAACAAACCAGGGAGGAGCGCTTGGGATTCCAGAGCTCGGGAAAAGCGTGTGGATGGTGTCGGCGTGGCACAGGCAGTGGTGACGGGGTGACGGGGACGGTGGCATCGGCAGTGAGGTGGCAGCGTCTTCATCCCGAAGTAGCACTTAGTGAAGTTTTGCTCAGTTTTAACAGCACAGACCCTTCCCAAAGGCTCCTTTTCCTTCTCCCTTCTCCGGTGTGGGTTCTGGGATGGGAAATCCGGCTGCGCTTCCTCATCCCACACACACACACACACATAGAGGCAGCAGCACCAGGAGAAGGGGACTCCAGCCCACCAGGAGGAAGGTTATGATCCATAAAGGAAAGGCTCACAAGGCTATGGCCTCTCCTTCAGGAAGAGCAAACCCCCCCCTATTCTGATCCAATTCCCTTGGCAAAGCAGCACCCGATGTGTGAAGCCATTCCAGTGGAGCTTGGGACAAAAAGGTAGGAAAAGAACAACAAAAAACACCCTTTTCTTCCCCAAACCGAGCACATCCGAGCTGCGCCCTGCAATTCACAAAGGGGGGAGCAAACACCCCACATCCAACCCTCAATCCGGGACTGGGAAAGGGGCTGGTACCCAGGAAGGAGAAGGGAGAAGGAGCATCGCAGCGGGTGGGTGTTTCCCCAAGCAGCAAACAGGGGCCACAAATCTTTCCGAAGCTCAGTGACCGCCTCCAATAAGCGGGTGACGAGGGGACGAGGTGCCTGGTGCCGGGAATACCCAAGGAAACAGCTCATCTCCCGGCTTTTCAGCTGCAGGAGCCATGCCTGCGTCTTTGGTGCCTCCTTCCGGAGCGGATTCCGGGCTGGAGGCTTCGGAGGACACTCAGGATTCGATCTTTTCCTTCTTTTTGCCTTTTTTCAGGAAAGATGGGGTCCGGAATTTCTTCTTCTTCTTCGAGGGCGATTTGGAAGGGGACCCATCAGGGGACACGGGGCTGCTGGTCACCGTCTCCTTCTCCTTCGGGGCATCCGTGTCGGTGTTGGCAGGGGACGTTGTCCGCTCCCCGGCTTTGCTTTCCTCGGTGCTTTGCTCCTCGTCCTTCCCATTCACCACCGCTGGCGGCTCCTTCTCAACAGCAGAATCAGCCGGCGCTCGGTCCCCATCCTCCTTCTTGTCACCTTGGCAACGGCAAAGAGGAGAGGTGAGGGTTGGGCATCACTGGCGCTGGGGAGGTTTAAATCCCCCCCCTCGGGCAGGAGCAGGGTTTGGCCTCTGTGCATAGACAACAATGGGGCTCCATCCCCTCCTGCCTCAGGCTCTGCTTCCCTGAGCTTTCCCCTCCCTCTCCCTGCAGCATAAGCGAGGTGGGATGGAGAGCCGGGAAGAGGCAGGCAGGGCAGGCGGTTGGCTCCATCCCGGCCTCGCGGCTGGAATGGAAGCAGGGAGCGAAGAGAACAAGGAAACCCAAGGCATTTCCTGCTGCAAAGCCCTCAGGAGAGCGCTGGGGCCACGGAGAGCAAGGGTACCCCGAGCTGCACCCGTGTCCCTCCTCCTTACGGATGGCCTCTCCGTACTTACTACAGTGACAAGCATTCAGAGTCAGAGGTAACTCCTTGGGTGAGAGCCACACGGGGAGGAAAGAGAAAGGAAGAGGTTGTGGACACAGACACAGACACCACGACACACGATGAGCAAGCCAGAAGCTCCCAATGCCCCCCCAAAACCTGCTGTAAGTGACAACCTGGGACCATATAACAGTGGGAATGGTGCATCCTTAGGTGATGGGACAAGAGGAAACGGCCTCAAGCTGCCCCAGGGCAGGTTTAGATGGAGTTGAGGAGCAATTCCTTGCCCCAAAGGGTGCTCAGGCATTGGAACTGCCCAGGGCAGGGCTGGAAGTGTTCCCAAACCTTGTAGACAAGACCCTCAGTGCCATGGGTTAGTGATGGCCTCGGCAGTGCTGGGAATGGTTGGACTCAATGAGCTTAAAGCTCTTTCCCATCCTGGTTGATTCTGTTAGGACCAGGATGGAGACATCCCCTGCACCCAGTAAAGCCACCAATGGATGCTCCTGATGCTGCCTTTATGGTGCGAGCCCCCAGCAGTGCTGCCCGAGCAGGCTGATGGAGACCTTTATCCGTGTTCAAGCAGGGGCCGGCTGCATCCACCCGCATCCCTCTGCTTCAGTTCCTCACTGCAGACCCCATCCTCATGTCCCTGCTCCCATGGGATCACTCACCCTCCGCGGGCTCCGCAGGCGTCGGGGCCGGGCTCTGCGGTGGGGATGCAGGGGGAGCCTGGCTCTCCTCGGCCACAGCAGCCTTCTCGCCTGCCAACAGAGACATTGCATGCCCCCGAGCCCCATGGAATGGGATTTGGGATCAGGGCTCCCCTTTACCCCTTCCTACCCTGCAGCTTTTTCCTCTCCACCTCCTGCTTGTACTCCTCCAGCTCCTGGTCCGTCAGCTGGCTGAAGGGGTTCGGGGGCTCCGGCTCCGGGGGGGCCTCATCCTGGGATGCTTCTTTGGCTTCTGCATCTCCCAAATGGCTCTCTGTGGACTGAAGGAACAGCCCCGGAGCGGTGTTACCTGTGGGGCGGGATGCTGTGGGGCGGGGATGTGGGGCTGGGATGTGGGGTGACGTACGGGGCTGCGGCTGGTCTCTGCGATCACGCTGGCCAGCAGCTGGGATTGGGGTCCGGCTGACTTCACATCCTGGCGGTTCTGCTCCCGGATCTATGGGGGAGATGTGGATTAGGGGCAAGGAAACCGCCGCCCCCCTCCCCATGGGTCTGTGAAGAGCCCTGCACCCACACCCCAAAGCCTTGGGGGCGGTTTGGGGCCAGGACCAGACCTTGTTCCTCATCTCCAGCACCTCCTGTGGGTCCGTGTAGAGGGGCACGAACTGGTTGGGGTTCTCGATGCGGATTGGGGTCCCGCTGCTGCCTTTTTCCACCTCGTCTGCTTTCAGCCACTGCATCGCAGAGAGAAAACCCCCATAAACAACACATTGTGAAGGAGGGGAACCCATGGAGACCTCAGAGCAGCTTCCAGTGTCTGAAGGGGGCCACAAGGATGCTGGAGAGGGGCTCTTCATCAGGGACTGTAGGGATAGGACAAGGGGTGATGGGTTCAGACTGAAACAGGGCAGGTTCAGGTTGGGGATAAGGCAGCAGCTCTTCCCTGTGAGGGTGGGGAGATGGGGTTTTCCAATAGCTGTTATTATGGCAGGGAATAGAGGAGGAAAGGAAAGTTTGTGCTTAATAAAGGTACCAAAAGCAGCAGTTGCAGCTTCCCGCATACCCCAGTGCGTTCCTGGTGAGATCCCATCCATCCCTTTACCACAGATGCATCACCCTCCAAGCTAACACCATTCCCAGAGCCAGCCCCCTTCCCAAACCACCCCAAACCCCTCCTTTACCCCCCCAGCAGCCCCTCACCGTCGTCTTTGTCTTCTGGCTGCCAGCGCTGCCCTGGGGCTCCTCGGCCACATTGACCCTCATGTAGGTGTTGGGGGTGTTGAGCCACCTCGTCTTCTCCTTCTGCTGCTTCTGGGCGTGCTGCCGCAGCGCGGGCACGGGGGCGGCCTCCTCCTCGAACACAAAGGCAGTGACGGTGGCGGGGATGAGCACATCGCTTTTGGGTTTGCTCTTCTCCTGCACCAGGGGGTAGCGGTACGTGTACCCGGTGCGGTACCCCTGCGGAAGGACACGGCGTTGGGGTGTGAGGAGCATCACCGGGCGGCCGGGATGGGATCGCAGTGGGGTTTGCGGTGCGCCAGCATCCTCACCAGGTTGTCCAGCATCCTCATCAGGGCTTCGAACTCGTGCTCGCCCAAGCGGCTCTTCTGCATGGGCCCGAAGGTGCTGCCCGCCCAGCGCACGGAGCCCACCTCGTGTGCGCGGTGCTTGCTGCGCTCCAGCACAATCAGGTTCTCCGTGCCCCCCGCGCTCGCCAGCGCCGACACCTGCGGTACAGCAAAGGGGGGCCCAGGGGGGATGCTGGTGGGGATGGGCATGGCCACGGCACCCATGGGGGCGCTGGGGACCACGGTGACAGCAGGGACCCGGTGCAGCTCAGTGCATGGGCCTAGGGCACAGTGATGATGCCATGCACAGCTCAGTGCTTATTCTAATAGGCATGGTGCTGAGACCGTGCACAACTCCTTATCCTTGGTGCCATCTTAAGGCATATCAAGGATAAGAGGGTTATGAGGGGCAGTCAACATGGCTTCACCAAGGGGAAGTCGTGCTTGACCAATCTTGTAGCCTTTTATGAGGAAATAACACGGTGGATGGATGATGGCAGAGCGGTGGATGTGGTCTACCTCGACTTCAGCAAAGCGTTTGACACGGTCTCCCACAGCATCCTTGCGGCTAAATTGAGGAAGTGTGGTCTGGATGATTGGGTAGTGAGGTGGACTGTGAACTGGCTGAAGGAGAGAAGCCAGAGAGTTGTAGTCTATGGGGCAGAGTCTAGTTGGAGGCCTGTATCTAGTGGAGTGCCTCAAGGGTCGGTACTGGGACCAGTATTATTTAATATATTCATCAACGATTTAGATGAGGGAATTGAGTGTACTATCAGCAAGTTTGCTGATGACACTAAGCTGGGAGGGGTGGCCGACACGCCAGAAGGCTGTGCTGCCATCCAGAGGGACCTGGACAGGCTGGAGAGCTGGGCGGGGAATAACTTGATGAAATATAACAAGGGAAAGTGTAGAGTCCTACATCTGGGCAGGAACAACCCCAGGTTCCAGTATAGGCTGGGGAACGACCTGTTAGAGAGCAGTGTAGGGGAGAGGGACCTGGGGGTCCTGGTGGACGACAGGGTGACCATGAGCCGACACTGTGCCCTTGTGGCCAAGAAGGCCAATGGCATCCTGGGGTGTATTAGAAGGGGGGTGGTTAGTAGGTCGAGAGAGGTCCTCCTTCCCCTCTACTCTGCCCTGGTGAGACCTCATCTGGAATATTGTGTCCAGTTCTGGGCCCCTCAGTTTAAGAAGGACAGGGACCTGCTGGAGAGAGTCCAGCGCAGGGCAACTAAGATGATTAAGGGAGTGGAGCATCTCCCTTATGAGGAAAGACTGAGGGAGCTGGGTCTCTACAGTTTGGAGAAGAGGAGATTGAGGGGTGACCTTATTAGTGTATATAAATATATAAAGGGGGAGTGTCACGAGGATGGAGCCAGGCTCTTCTCAGTGGCAAACAATGAAAGGACAAGGGGTAATGGATACAAATTGGAGCACAAGAGGTTCCACTTAAACCTGAGAAGAAACTTCTTCTCAGTGAGGGTGACGGAACACTGGAACAGGCTGCCCAGGGAGGTTGTGGAATCTCCTTCTTTGGAGACGTTCAAGACCCGCCTGGACACGTTCCTGTGTAGCCTTACCTAGGTGTTCCTGCTCCGGCAGGGGGATTGGACTAGATGATCTTTTGAGGTCCCTTCCAATCTCTAACCTACTGTGATACTGTGATACTGTGATACAACTCAGTGCTTATTCTAATAGGGATGGTGCTGAGGCCACACAGAGCTCAGTGCTTATCCCCATGGACACGGTGCTGAGGCCGTGCACAACTCAGTGCTTATTCTAATGGGATGATGCTGAGGCCGTACACAGCTCAGTGCTTATTCTAATGGGATGATGCTGAGGCTGTACACAGCTCAGTGCTTATCCCCATGGGCATGGTGCTGAGGCTGTGCACAGCTCAGTGCTTATCCTTATGGGCACAATGCTGAGGCCGCACACAGCTTGGTGCTTATCCCTATGGACATGATGCTGAGGCTGCACACAGCTCAGTGCTTATCCCCATGGAGACGATGCTGAGGCCGTACACAGCTCAGTGCTTATCCCTATGGACACGATGCTGAGGCCACACACAGCTCAGTGCTTATCCCCATGGACACGATGCTGAGGCCGTACACAGCTCAGTGCTTATTCTAATGGGATGATGCTGAGACTGCACACAGCTCAGTGCTTATCCCTATGGACACAGTGCTGAGGCCGCACACAGCTCAGTGCTTATCCCCATGGACACGATGCTGAGGCCGTGCACAGCTCAGTGCTTATCCCTATGGACATGATGCTGAGGCCGCACACAGCTCAGTGCTTATCCCCATGGACACGATGCTGAGGCCGCACACAGCTCAGTGCTTATCCCTATGGACATGATGCTGAGGCTGCGCACAGCTCAGTGCTTATCCCTATGGACATGATGCTGAGGCCGCACACAGCTCAGTGCTTATCCCTATGGACATGATGCTGAGGCCGTGCACAGCTCAGTGCTTATCCCCATGGACACAATGCTGAGGCCGTGCACAGCTCAGTGCTTATCCCCATGGACACGATGCTGAGGCCCCACACAGCTCAGTGCTTATCCCTATGGACACGATGCTGAGGCCGCACACAGCTCAGTGCTTATCCCCATGGACACGATGCTGAGGCCGCACACAGCTCAGTGCTTATCCCCATGGACATGACTGAGGCCTCACAGCTCAGTGCTTATCCCTATGGACACGATGCTGAGGCCGCACACAGCTCAGTGCTTATCCCTATGGACACGGTGCTGAGGCCGCACACAGCTCAGTGCTTATCCCCATGGACACGATGCTGAGGCCGTGCACAGCTCAGTGCTTATCCCTATGGACACGATGCTGAGGCCGCACACAGCTCAGTGCTTATCCCTATGGACACGATGCTGAGGCCGTGCACAGCTCAGTGCTTATCCCTATGGACACGATGCTGAGGCCGCACACAGCTCAGTGCTTATCCCTATGGACACGATGCTGAGGCCGCACACAGCTCAGTGCTTATCCCTATGGACACGATGCTGAGGCCGCACACAGCTCAGTGCTTATCCCTATGGACACGATGCTGAGGCCGCACACAGCTCAGTGCTTATCCCATGGACAGATGAGCCCACAGCTCATGCTACCCATGACACATGCTGAGCCGCACACAGCTCAGTGCTTATCCTTATGGACATGATGCTGAGGCTGTGCACAACTCAGTGCTTATCCCCATGGGCACAGTGATGAAGCCGTGCACAGCTCAGTGCTTATCCCCATGGACACGATGCTGAGGCCGCACACAGCTCAGTGCTTATCCCTATGGACACGATGCTGAGGCCGCACACAGCTCAGTGCTTATCCCTATGGACACGATGCTGAGGCCGTGCACAGCTCAGTGCTTATCCCTATGGACACGATGCTGAGGCCGTGCACAGCTCAGTGCTTATCCCTATGGACACACACCCACACCAGTGCTGAGGCCGCACACAGCTCAGTGCTTATCCCTATGGACACGATGCTGAGGCCGCACACAGCTCAGTGCTTATCCCTATGGACACGATGCTGAGGCCGCACACAACTCAGTGCTTATCCCTATGGACACAATGCTGAGGTCGCACACAGCTCAGTGCAGGGCCAGGTGCTCACCTGGATCTCGCAGGCCGCCTGCAGGTGGAAGATGCTGTAGAAGGCCTCCTCGGCCGTGTCCCCCAGTGCCAGCACGCCGTGGTTGCGCAGCACCAGGATCTGCAGCACCGATGGGGCCATCAGCGGGACAAGGCGGGCACGATGGGGTCACCCCTTTCCCGCCTGTCCCCATCCCCTCACCTTGCAGGTGGGGCCAAGGCATTTCTGGAGCTCGACCCGGTCCCCTTCCTCCTCCACCTCCCCTCTGAAGTCGAAGTAGGCGACGTCCCCCAGCAGCAGCGCGGCGCGGGAGATGGGCAGCACCCCACAGCGCATGGCCGAGACCTGCGGGGGGGCACGGGGGTGACAAACCCCATCCAACACCCCCGTCCCCTTCCCCAAACCCCACCCCGAGCACCCCAATGTCTCACTGCAGCCGTGGCCGGGGTGTGCAGGTGGATGATGCAGCGGGTATCGGGGCGCGCGGCGTAGATGGCGGCGTGGAGGCTGAAGCTGCGCGCGTCCGGGGTGAAGTTGGTGCTGCCCTGCTCCACCACGGCCCCCAGCACGTTCACCTTGATCTTGGGGGGACAGAGAGGGGGCTCGGAGCTCCTTCAGCATCCAGGGTTGTGGGGGTGATGGGAAGGGATGGAGATGGGAGTGATGGGTAAAGGATAATAGGGATGGGAGCGATGCTCCAGGGATAACAGGGATGGGGGTGATGCTATAGGGATAACAGGGATGGAAGCGATGCTCCAGGGATAATAGGAATGGGGGTGATGTTACAGGGATAACAGGAATGGGAGTGATGGATAAGGGATAACAGGGATGGGAGCGATGCTACAGGGATAACAGGGATGGAGCTGATGGATAGGGGATAGCAGGGATGGAGCTGATGGACAGGGGATAACAGGGATGGAGGTGATGAATAGGGATAACAGGGATGGGAGTGGTGCTATAGGGATAACAGGGAATGGGGGTAATGGGTAAGTGATAACACAGATTGGGGTGATGCTACAGGGATGGGGGTGATGCTACAGGGATAACAGGGATGGGAGTGATGCTACAGGGGTAACAGGGATGGGGGTGATGGATAGGGGTAACAGGGGATGCTATAGGGATAACAGGGATGGGGGTGATGGATAAGGGATAACAGGGATGGTAGTGATGCTACAGGGGTAACAGGGATGGGGGTGATGGATAGGGGTAACAGGGGATGCTATAGGGATAACAGGGATAGGGGTGATGAACAGGGATAACAGGGATAGGGGTGATGGATAAGGGATAACAGGGATGGGTGTGATGCTATAGGGATACCAGGGATGCAGGTGATGCTATAGGGATAACAGGGATGCTCACCAAGCTGGCCGCTGTCACCTCGCTGCATGCCAGCCCCTGTGGGGCCACCAAGAAATGCTCCTGTTCCTTGCTGACGCGTAGCTGCAGAAGGAGGAGGCACACGTGGGTGTAAAAGGGGGAAATACATCCTAAAATCACCGCCATACCCGTCACGGTACCCCCAAACCCTTACCCCAGGAGCCACCCCCCCCGAAAGTCCTCAAATGCACCAAAACCCCCCAATACCTCCCCCAAAACCCACAGAGGTCTCAAAAAGTGAAAGAAACCTTAAAAACACCCCCAAAACCCTGCACCCCCACACCCTGCCCTGAAAGCCCTCACCCCCCAACACCTCCCACACCCCCAAAAACCCCAAATCACCCCAAAACCTTACTTTCCCAAAGCCAACACACCAAAATACCCCAAATACACCCCAAAAAAGGCCCCAAACTGCCCTAAAATCTTTATCTCCCCAAACCTGACCAAATACCCCAAATATGCCCCAAAAAAAACCCAATCCTCCAAATCTTCTCCTCCCAAAACCAACACACCAAAATACCCCAAATACACCTCAAAAAAGCCCCAACCCCCCCAAATATTTGCCTCCCAAAACCTGACCAAAAAACCCCAAATACACCCCAAAAAAGCCCCAATCCCCCAAATGTTCACCTCCCAAAACCAACACACCAAAATACTCTAAATACACCCCCAAAAAGCCCCAAACCCCCCAATCTTCACCTCCCAAACCCAACACACCAAAATACCCCAAATACACCCCAAAAAAGCCCCAATCCCCCAAATCTTCACCCCCAAAGCCAACACACCAAAATACCCCAAATACACCCAAAAACCCAAACCCCAAAACCCCAAACCCCACCCAAAACCAAAAACACCCAAAAAAGCCCCAACCCCCTCAAAATCTTTGCCTCCCCAAACCTGGCCATATACCCTAAACACCCCCAAAAAAGCCCCAACCCCCCCCAAATCTTTGCCTCCCAAAACCTGACCAAAATACCCCAAACACACCCCAAAAAAGCCCCAAACCCCCAAATATTCGCCTCCCAAAACCAACACACCAAAATACCCCAAATACACCCCAAAAAAGCCCCAATCCCCAAATCTTCGCCTCCCAAAACCAACACACCAAAATACCCCAAATACACCCCCAAAGACACCCCCAAAAAGCCCCAAACTCTCTAAAATCTTTGTCTCCCAAAATCTGACCAAAATACCCCAAATACACCCCCAAAAAGCCCCAAACTCCCAAATATTCATCTCCCAAACCCAACACACCAAAATACCCCAAATACACCCCAAAAAAGCCCAAATCCCCCAAATCTTCGCCTCCCAAAGCCAACACACCAAAATACCCCAAATACACCCCAAAAAAGCCCCCAATCCCCCATTCCCCCCCCGTTTTCGGGATGCTCACGGTGACAGCCGCGTGTCCCAGCTGGGCCCAGCCATAGAGGTCCAGCAGGCGGTGGATGCTGCCCACCTTGCAGCGCATCAACCGCTCGCCCTTGGCCAGCGCCGGTGCCTCGGGGCCGTGCAGGTCATTGATGGGGGTGACCGAAGCCAGCCCTGGGGATGCGGCACCCCCAAAATGAGAGGGAGAAGTGGGGGGGGTTGGTTTGGAACCCCCTTCCCAACACTGGGATGGTCCCTTGGGGAGTGGAGGGGGATGGAGCTGGGCTTGGGGTCCCAAAGGTTTGGGGGTCCTAAAGGTTAAAGGGAATCCAAAGGTTTGGGGGTCCTAAAGGTTAAAGGGAATCCAAAGGTTTGGGGGTCCCAAAGGTAAAGGGATTCCAAAGGTTTGGGGGTCCTAAAGGTTAAAGGGAATCCAAAGGTTTGGAGGTCCTAAAGGTTAAAGAGATTCCAGACGTTTGGGGGTCCTAAAGGTTAAAGGGAATCCAAACATTAAAGGGATTCCAAAGGTTTGGGGGTCCTAAAGGTTAAAGGAAATCCAAAGGTTAAAGGGAATCCAAAGGTTTGGGGGTCCCAAAGATAAAGGGATTCCAAAGGTTTGGGGGTCCTAAAGGTTAAAGGGAATCCCAAAGTTAAAGGGAATCCAAAGGTTTGGGGGTCCCAAAGGTAAAGGGATTCCAAAGGTTTGATGGTCCCAAAGGTTTGGAGTATCCTAAAGGTTTGGAGGATACCAAAGTTTGGTGATCCCAAAGGTAAAGGAATTCCAAAGGTTTGATGGTCCCAAATGTAAAGGGATTCTAAAGGTTTGGAGGATCCCAAAGGCAAAGGGATCCCAAAGGTTTGAAAGATCCCAAAGGTTTGGTGGTCCCAAAGGTAAAGGGATTCCAAAGGTTTGATGATCCCAAAGGTTTGGAGAATCCTAAAGGTTTGGTGGATCCCAAAGTTTGGAAGATCCCAAAGGTAAAGGAATCCCAAAGGTTTGATGGTCCCAAATGTAGAGAGATTCTGAAGGTTTGGAGGATCTCAAAGGCAAAGGGATCCCAAAGGTTTGGAAGATCCCAAAGGTTTGGTGGTCCCAAAGGTAAAGGGATTCCAAAGGTTTGGAGGACCCCAGAGTCTGGTGGTCCCCAAAACTGAACAGATTCCAAAGGTCTGTAGGTCCCAAAGATAAAGGGATACCAAAGGTTTAGAGAATCCTGAAGGTTTGGAGGATCCGAAAGGTTTGGTGGTCTCAAAGGTAAAGGGATCCCAAAGCTTTGGAGGATCCCAATGGTAAAGTGAATTCCAAAGTTTGGTGATCCGAAAGGTTGAATGGATTCCAAAGGTTTGGTGGTTCTGAAGATAAAGGGATCCCAAAGGTGTGGAGGATCCCAAAGGTTTTAGGGGATCCCAGGGTTTTGGAAGAGGCTACTTGGGGTCTGCAGCCTGACCCTGTGGTCCTCGATGCCCTCCCTCCACCCTCACCCCTCTCCACTGGGAATGAGAACATGGAGCTCTAGGGGATGTTTCCTCACCTCCAAACCCATCAATTAAGGAAAACCCTCAAGAATTTCACCAAATGATTCCCTTTTTGCCCCAAAGAAGCTGCTGCCGTACCCATGGGGGAGGTGGGGAGGACGGCAGGGGACGTGGTGGCCATGAAGTCAGCGATCTGCCGCAGGGCCCATATGTGGGACGAGTTGTTCCCCTTCTTCATCTGCTCCTGGATGAGGCTCTCCAGCTCCTCCCTGAAAGACTGCGGCACCCCGGCCCCACCGGTGTCATCCCCATCACCATAGGGATGCGGTGACCGAACAGGGAGCATCCGGTGGCACCGGGGTGCGGGTACCACCGGGTCAGAGGTGGCAGCATCGTTGGCTTGGTGGCATCAGCAGCACGTCGGCAGTGCCACCACTGATAACGCAGTGACTGCAGCCCCATGGGCTCGGTGGCAGTGACATGGCCAGCTTGGTGGCACGGGGGTGGCACTACCGGGCAGCCGGGGACGTGTCCCCATCCAACACAAGTGGAATTTGCTTGGGAGAGGAGGGATGGGGTTGGGACAGAAGGGTCTGAGTTAGGGCAGGAGGGATGGGGTTTGGGGATAAAGATAGGATTTGGGGACGAGGAGAGACAGGATTTGGGGACAAGGAGGGACAGAGGCAGGAGGAACAAGGCTGAGGACAGGAGGGATGGGGTTTAGGCACAGGAAGGGTGGGATTTGGGGACAAATAGGAATGGGTTTTGGAGCACAGGAGTGACGGGATTTGAGGACAGGAGGGATGGAGTTTGGGGACGAGGTGGAATAGGGTTTGGAAGACAGGAGGGATGGGGTTTGGAAGACAGGAGGGATGGGGTTTGGGGGCACAAGAGGGATGGGGTTTGGGGGCACAAGAGGGATGGGGTTTGGGGGCAAGGAGGGATGAGGTTTGAGGACAGGAGGGATGGAGTTTAGGGATAAGGAGGGCCAGAGTTTGGGACCAAGGAGGGATAGGATTTGGGGACAAAGGGAGATAGGAGGGAGAGGGGCAGGAAAAACAAGGTTGGAGAGAGGAGGGGCAGGGTTTGGGGGCACAGGAGGGATAGGATTTGGGGACGAGGAGGGATGGGGTTCGAGGACCAGGAGGGACCGGGTTCAGACCCCGGGAGGTGCCGCCGCTTACCGGGCTCTGCAGGATCATGGTGACCCTCTTCTTCTGCTCCATCATGTTGAAGTCCTGCCGCAGGTCCGCTGCCATGTTCCGCTCCCGCAGGTACTCGGGGTCCTCCTCAGCCAAGCTCTCCAGGTAACGGGGCCCGGGGCCGGGGGGCTCGGGCAGGGGCTCGGGGCTGGCCACGGAGCTCATCCTTGGACGGGAACGCGGGGACAGGGTCAGCGGGAGCGCCCTCCGCAGAGGCAGATTGGGAAGCAGGCAGCGCAGATACCCCCAAGCTGCACGCTGGAGATAAGCCCCATCCGGCCTCCGCCCTTCCCATAGGGACAACCCATCCCTGTGATGAGTTGGCACCTTCAGAACATGATGGGGGTGCACCCAAATCACCCCCCAAAACCAAGCAGTGGCTGAGAACGAGCGGCTCAGTGCACTGATGGGAGCAGCACCGATGGCATCCGCCCTGAGGGATGCTCCCAATCGATCGCGTTTGGGATCGATGCCACGGTGTCACTGCCGCTGTGAACCCCACAACGCCACCAATGACACCTCCCCTTCCTGTAAAGTCTTCAGTGGGGTGTTTTAGGGGTGCTGCTGCACCAAAATAAGGGGTAAATAGACCCAAATACACCCCCACATAGGGGGTGCAGAGGTGGTCCAAACTTGAGCTGCTCCCCCCAAATCCCAGAGGACCCCCCCCAAACAGAGCATCCCAATGCTCAGTGCTTCCCCCAATGCAAAAGCAGAGTCCCCCACATCCTCCATAGCTCCCCATGTGTCCCCCCCCCCAAAGCCAGCTCTGCTGCCCCGATACCCACCTGGCTCACAGGGAAGCAGGGAGCCTTTTCCAGGCTTGAATTCCCTGGGAGGGTCCCCACCGAAGGGCGAACGTCAGGGGGTGGCAGGATCCTGAGCATCCCAGCAGGAATTCCCCCCCCCCCCAAAGCGGAAGGAGGAAGAAGAGAGGGGTCTCTAAAGGCCCCCCCTCATCACTGCGTGCTGGGAATAGGGGGGGAATAAACGACACCCCCATGCTCCCACCCCCCATCCATCCATCCATCCATCCAACATTCCCGGCCGCCTCCGCCCTCGCCGCACCCAGCGCCGCTGCGGCAGCCGCAGGGATGGCGGATGAGGAGGAAAACCAGGGAATTTCCCTTGTTCTGGATGCGGCCCCGCGTCCCCCATGGATGCGGATTAAAGGGGGGAAAGGGGGGATTGGTACCCACCACCCGCAGAGGATAAAGACAGGGAAGGGGGGGGTAGGAATAGATGGAGCCCCCCCAAACCTGCATGCAGCCTGCTTGGGGAGGGTGATAAAAGACGGGAAAGAGATGGGGGGGTCACCCAATTTGTTGTGTGCCCCCCCCCCCAAAAACCCTCCCATGGATGGGGATGCTGCGGCCGGGAGGATGCTGCCATCACCCACCTCCTCCTCAGAGCATCCTCCTCCTCCTCAGAGCATCCTGACAAAGGCCCCCCCCCCCCCGCGCAGGTCCAGCTCCTTCTGCCAACACGCTCCGCCCCATAGAGGTGGGGGGGACCCATGGACCCCCATTGAGTGCAAATAAACGCGGTGGGAAGCACACAGGAGCAGCATGGACACCCCCCAAAATCCTCTTTTATTATGAGATAGATGGAGAATTGGGAGTTCTATTAAATAAAGGGGGGGGAGCAGCGCTGCTAATTGCTAATTACATTCACATAAAGCTATTAATTACAGCTCTGGCCTCACCATCGTGGTTGAGGAGTGATGGACCCCCCCCATAATGGGGATAGGCAGGTTGAGGGGCAGTGTAATGGGATGTGGGGCTGGATCCGGCCGTGGGACAGGAGGCAGCCCCCAAAGGAAGTGCTGGAGCATCCAACTTGGTGTCAGACCAGGTCCAGGTCCCCCGTGGGTCTCTGCAGGAGATTCCAGGGGTTTTTAGGGATTGGCTGGTAAAACCTTCAAAAACAAGCCCCCAGAACACAAGGTTTTGCTCATTTTGGAGTATTTTGGGGCATATATACATATATGGTGTATTTTATATATTTAATATGCTGATATAAAGCAGAGGCTCCCCAAAGCCTGAGCTCAGGGGTGGGAGCTCCCCACAAGGCTCATGGGTGCCCCCATCCCATATTGTCCCCCACTACTGGGTGCACCCAACCCCATCACCCCAACCCTGACCCCCAACTCACCAGCTCCCCACTCTCCTGTAGCATCCCAGGGTTGGGGTGCAGCACAGGGGCAGCACCCCATGGACACGGGGGGGCAGCACCAGGCCCTGTCCCAGCGGTGCCACCATGAGCATCCTGCTGGTGTGAGAAGAGGGGAGAAAACACTGAAACTGGGGTGCTGGGCCCCCCCCATCCCTCTGCCATCTAGGAGGGCATTGATATGCTTGAGGGGTGCCCGATGCCGGCTCTATGGAGATCAATAGGACCAAGGGCAAGGAGCAACCCCAGGTGCAGGTTGGGGCGAGAAGTTATGGAGAGCAGCCTGAGGGCAAGGATTTTGGGGTGTCGGTCAATGAGAACCCCCCCATGTGCTAGGCTGCACCCCCAAAGCATCTTCCAGTGTCTGAAGGGGGCCTATAGGGATGCTGGAGAGGGGCTCTTCATCAGGGACTGCAGGGATAGGATAAGGGGTGATGGGTTCAGACTGAAACAGGGGAGGTTGATGTTGGGGTGACCCCCCCTTTACCTTGACCCCCCCCGTTTCCTCCAGCACCAGCCGCAGCAGCCGGATGTACTCAGTGGCTGCCTTCAGGGTGTCCACTTTGCTGGGCTTGTGGTCGCGGGGGACCAGGGGCACCAAGGCCTTGAGCTTGGAGAAGCCGCTGTTGATGTTCCTGATCTGCAAAGGGGGGGATAAAGAGAAGGGAAACTCATTGGAGTGCATGGGGGGGGGACCCCAAGGGTGAACTGGGAACCATGGGATTTAATTGGTGACACCAGAATCAACCCATGTGCTGCTAGGATTAAACTGGGGACCCCAGAATTAAGCCCTGTGCTGCTAGGATTAAACTGGGCCCCTTTAGGATTAAACTGGGGACCCCAGAATTAAACCATGTGCTCCTAGGATTAAACTGGGCCCCCCAAAATTAAACCATGTGCTGCTAGGATTAAACTGGGGACCCCAGAATTAAGCCCTGTGCTGCTAGGATTAAACTGGGCACCCCCAAAACTAAGCCATGTGCTGCTAGGATTAAACTGGGGACCCCAGAATTAAGCCCTGTGGTGCTAGGATTAAACTGGGCCCCTTTCCCCAGAATTAGCTGTTGCTTAAACTGGCCCCTTTAGGATTAAACTGGGGACCCAGAATTAACCATGTGCTCCTAGGATTAAACTGCCCCCCAAATTAAGCCATGTGCTTCTAGGATTAAACTGGGGACCCAGAATTAAGCCCTGTGCTGCTAGGATTAAACTGCCCCTTAAAACACCCAAAACCACCCAAAACCCCCCCAAAAAAACCACCAGGATTAAACTGGGGACCCCAGAATTAAGCCCTGTGCTGCTAGGATTAAACTGGGCACCCCCAAAACTAAGCCATGTGCTGCTAGGATTAAACTGGGGACCCCAGAATTAAGCCCTGTGGTGCTAGGATTAAACTGGGCCCCTTTAGGATTAAACTGGGGACCCCAGAATTAAGCCCTGTGGTGCTAGGATTAAACTGGGCCCCTTTAGGATTAAACTGGGGACCCCAGAATTAAGCCCTGTGGTCCTAGGATTAAACTGGGCCCCCCCAAATTAAGCCATGTGCTTCTAGGATTAAACTGGGGACCCCAGAATTAAGCCCTGTGCTGCTAGGATTAAACTGGGCCCCTTTAGGATTAAACTGGGGACTCCAGAATTAAGCCAAGTGCTACTAGGATTAAACTGGACACCCCCAAAACTAAGCCATGTGCTGCTAGGATTAAACTGGGCCCCCCAAATTTAAGCCAGGTGCTGCTAGGATTAAATGGGCCCCCCCAGAATTAAGCCCTGTGCTACTAGAATTAAACTGGGCCCCCCAAAATTGAGCCATGTGCTCCTAGGATTAAACTGGGCCCCCCCAAATCAACCCATGTGCTGTTAGGATTAAACTGGGGACCCCAGAATTAAGCCCTGTGCTGCTAGGATTAAACTGGGCCCCCTAAAATTAAGCCATGTGCTCTTAGGATTAAACTGGGCCCCCCAGAATTAAGCTAAATGCTGTTAGGATTAAACTGGGCCCCTTTAGGATTAAACTGGGGACCCCAGAATTAAGCCATGTGCTGCTAGGATTAAACTGGGGACCCCCAAAGCTAAGCCAGGTGCTCCTGGGATTAAATTGGGCACCCCCAGAATTAAACCATGGGCTCCTAGGATTAAATTGGGCACCCCCAGAATTAAGCCCTGTGCTCCTAGGATGAAACTGGCCCCCCTCAGGTTTGAATTGGGCTCCCCAAGATTAACCCAGGCCTTCCTATGGTGAATCTGGGTACCCCAGAATTAAACCTGCCCCCCCCTCAAATGAAGCCAGGTCCTCCTAGGACTAAACCAGCCTCTACTCAGGATTAAACTGAGCACCCCAGGGTTGAACCAGGCCCTCCCAGGATCAAACCCACTCCCCTCCCAGTTTAAACCAGGTCCTTTTAGGATTAACCTGGCCCCCCATAATTAAACCCCCTAGGGTCACACCAGGCCCCCCAGAGTTAAGCCAGGTCCTCCTAGGATTAAACCCAGTCCCTCAGGATTAAACTGGGCTCTGTTAGGGTTAAACTGGAGCCCTCAAACTAAGCCAGAACCTCCCAGGGTTAAACCTAGCCTTCCATAGGATTAAACTGGGATCTAACCAGGCCCCAAGGGTTAAAAGAGGTCCTTTTAGGATGAAACTGTATGAAACCCCCCATATTATAGAAAAATATAAGAATATAATGTATTAATATAGTAATATAATATGATTAATGTATTGATATATTACCATATTAATATATTTGTTATACTGAATATAATATAGTATTAAATATAATATTAATTAGTGTATTGTAATGTAATTAATAATATAATTAATATTTAATTAAGATAATGATAAATATTGTATTGGATATAATACTACATTAAATATAATAAACATATTGTAATACATATGCTATATAACCCCCATATTAAACCAGACCCCCCAAAGGCTTCCTCCTATTCATGACCCCCAGCAGAGGCCTAAGGCCAACGGCCCAAGCACCCAGGGGTGCCCATGGTCCCCCCCATCACCACCATCACCATCACCCCCCATGCATGGGGCCGGGGTCCCCCTCTCACCCTCTCCCTCTCCTTGGCATTGGCCAACTGCCTCCTCTCCAGCGCATCCCCGGCATTCCCGATGGGCTCGTACCCCCCGGCCGGCCCCTTCCGCAGGCGGGCGATGGAGGCAGAGCAGGGCAAGGGGCCATGGAGCTGCCTCAGCACCCGCTCCAGCACCTCCGGGGCCGGGGTGGGCAGCAGGGCCCCCAGGGCCGGCTGCATCCCAGCTCCATCCATAGCCGTGGATCAAGCAACCCCAGTGGGAACCGGGTTAAGGGTTTATATAGGTTCCTATAGGGGCCCTTAAGTGCTCAACGAGCTGCAGGTGGGGCTCGTTGCAGCCTCATGGGCAGGCCTGGGCGTGCCTCAGTTTCCCCTCTCAGGGGCCAAGCCCCCAGGGTCAGTGGCCACAAAGACTTGGTCATGGAATGGTTTGGGTTCAAAAGGAGCTTTCCAAGCCCTAAAAGGGACCTAAACCCAGCCCCAGGAGTGTAAAGGGGAGCCCTATAGGGACAAGGCTTGATGTGATGGGGATGGGCAGCTGGCATTGCCCCATAGGGACAAACAGGGGTTGGTTCTTGTGTCCCTAAGAATGTGTGGGACTCAGTGACCACAAAGACTTGGTTGTGGAATGGTTTGGGTTCGAAAGGAGGTTTCCAAGCCCTAAAGTGACCTAAAACAGGCCCAGAAGTATAAATAGGAGCTCTACAGGGACAAGGCTTGATGTGATGGGGATGGGCAGCTGGCATTGCCCCATAGGGACAAACAGGGGATGGACTGGGGGGTTCTGGTGTCCCTAAGAGCCAATCCCCCAGTGTCAGTGGCCACAAAGACTTGGTCATGGAATGGTTTGGGTCGGAAAGGAGCTTTAGATCTTAACAGTTCCAAGCCATAAAACGAACCTAAAACCAGCCCCAGGAGTGTAAATGGGAGCCCTACAGGGACAAGGCCTGATGCGATGGGGATGGGCAGCTGGCATTGCCCCATAGGGACAAACAGGGGATGGGTTGGGGGGGTTCTTGTATTCCTGGGAACGTGGGAATGCGCTTTGGGATGGGGAAAAGGGAACGGCGAGGGCTGTTTCGGTAGGTGGCACTGTTGGTCCTCGCGATCCCGGAACCCAGAGGGAGGCTGGAAAAAGGGGGCAAATTCCCCTTTTCCCATCAAAACGGTGACGCTGGGTCAGTCACTGGGGGGGAACCTCATCCCAAGCCCTTCATTGGGGTGGTTTCCCCCTCCCCATCCTCCTTTCCCGTGTTTTCATAGGGAAAAGCCCCCCCAAAGTGCCTCACCCCGCTTTATCCACTGAATGCGGGGCTGTCCTATGGGGTGCGTTGAGGGACATGGAAGTGGTCCCCATGCAGCGCTGTGGCCGCTGTGCCTCAGTTCCCCCACACCTGAATGGGATGAAAACCATTCCCAAATCCTGGCAAACTGCGAAAAACCCACAAATGAGCCCCAAAATGAGCCTTGGGGATGCCCGGAAGGAAAGGAGCTTTTATTAGACCTCGGAAATCCCAATTTTCCCCTCTTTAATGCTCCATAATGAGCTTCCCTGTCCCGCAGCCAGATTGGGATAATCCCATTATTACTGCCCTCATCGGAGGAGTGGAGCTTACGGCTTAATGCGAGGGGAGGTGGGTTTAGAGCCACCCCAAAACCAAAGGTGGGGGTATCCAAAAGGGGGAATTAGGGCTGCAACATTCCCACCTCCCAGCAGCCGGGATGTGCTCCTTTCCCCTTGTTTTCCAGCTGGGAATACCGGGTGTTTGGAGGTGACAACTCAAAGGGAGAATGGGAAGTACGGAAGAGGGTGATGAGGGGTTTGGGGGGTGCTTGTGCAACCGGGATTGGCAGGAATCTCACCCCACTGGGAAGCAAGAAGGCCTGGGGGCAGCATCATTAGGGGTTGGGGTTATTAGGGATTATACTTATTAGGGGTCACACTCATTAGGGGCTATGGCTATGGTCAGGGTTATTAGGGATTGGGGTTATTAAAGGCCATGTCTTTTGGGGGGGCAGGGTTATTAGGGGTCAGGGTTATTAGGGGTCAGGTTATTGGGGGTCAGGGTTATTGGGTTACTAGGTTATTAGGGACTATGTTTTTGGGGTCCCAGTTGTTAGGGGTCATGGTTATTAGGGACCCTGTTCTGGGGGTCCCAGTTATTAGGATCATGGCTATTAGGGACCATGGTTTTGGGGATCCCAATTATTAGGGTCATGGTTATTAGGGACCCTGTTTTTGGGGTCCCAGTTATTAGGGATCATGGTTTTTAGGGACCCTGTTCTGGGGGTCCTAGTTATTAGGATCATGGCTATTAGGGACCATGGTTTTTGGGGTCCCAGTTATTAGGGTCATGGCTATTAGGGGCCATGGTTCTGGGGGTCCCAGTTATTAGGGATTGTGTTTATTAGGGACCATGGTTTTGGGGGTCCCTGTTATTAGGGGTCATTGTTATTAGGAACCCTGTTTTGGGGGTTCCAGTTATTAGATGTCATGGTTATTAGGGGCCATGGTTTTGGGGGTCCCAGTTATTAGTGGTCATGGCCATTACGGACCATGGTTTTGAGGGTCCCAGTTATTAGGGGTCATTGTTATTAGGGACCCTGTTTTGGGGGTCCCCGTTATTAGGGTCATGGCCATTATGACCATGGTTTTACGGGTCCCCGTTATTATGGGTTGTGGTTATTAGGACCATGGTTTTGGGGGTCCCAGTTATTAGGGTCATGGCTATTAGAGACCCTGTTTTGGGGGTTCCTGTCCTTTAGGGGTCCCAGTTGTTATTATGGGCCATGGTTTATTCCTGCTCTCAGCTCTTAGGGCTCTGCGTTACCAGCCCCTGCTCCCACGTGCAGCAGATGAGGATGCTCTGAACCCAACCAGGGTTCATTTTCATTTCCCCTCCCCTATTTCTGCTGCTGCTGGCCTGGGGCTCAGCTCCCTCCATAGAGCAGCAGCCTCCTGGAGCCGGGACTGATGAGTTTTAGGGGATTCATCCCCATTTCCCCCTCACCATGGTCAATGATGCTTGGGGAAGCATCCAGGCCTGAATTCCTATGGGGAACTCTTCAGCCTGTGTCTGTTTCCCAGCTCTTTAGGTCCAGTTATCCCTGCTCCGAAACGAGATCCGGGTTTGCATCCCAAACCCCTGGCACCGGTTGCTGTCCCCGGGGTGCCCCCAGAAGCTCCATCCCATTGGCTTCCCCCCATCCCACCCAGCTGGCAGCGCCTGTGCTCCTTTGGGATGTGGCATTTGCTGTTATCATGAGACTGGAAAAATTCCCTGGGTGGTTTCTGGTTACCGGAGCCGGGGAGGTCAGGGAAGAGGGATGGATCCTGGCATGGGGCTGCTCTTAGCATGTGATTGAGCCCAGTCTCTGCTGGCGCGGATGCAGCCGGTCCCTGCCGGAGCTGCCGGCCTCGTGCCGGCTCCGTGATGTGCTGCTGCCTGGATCCCAGCCATCCATGGGGAGAGCCTTAGAAAGCACTTGGAGCTGCTGGAGGGAGCGGCAGAGCAAGGGCAGGGGTTGCACCTCCTGTTGCTGAATCATGGAATCAATCAGGTTGGGAAAGAGCTTTAAGCTCATCAAGTCCAAGCATTCCCAAGCGCTGCCATCACTAACCCATGGCACTGAGGGCCTCATAGACGTGGTGTGTGATCGCTGCCAGGGACAGTGATTCCACCTCTGTTCCAATGTGTCCCAAGACAGCCTCTCTCCAAGAGGAATGCACCCAGGCATTGTTTGAGGCTGGGATTCCTCACTGGGCTGCACTGAATTCGCAGATCCCAGTCTCCAGGCTGGACCATGCATCCCACTTCCAATGGGTTCCCAGCACAGGGAAATGCCATACAACCATCAAGGCCTCCTTAAGAGCTTTTATCCCACTATTAAAGTCATAAAACCACCTCTTCACCTGCAACCAGCGCTGCTGGGAATACGGGATCTGAATGCCTTATCCCAGTACAACATCACCATGCTCCAGTGGGAGGCAGAGCGCTCTGTCTTGGATGAGGCTGTTTGAGATGGAAATGGGAAGCTCTTGCAGAGGGAAAGTCCAGAGGCTGCTTTCACACCCAGCCATGGGGTTAATGCTATGGAGGTGCAGCTGGATGGGTTCCAGGGGGTATCCCATGGGGAATCCTGCTCGCATCCCAGCCGGCTGCTCCTCCATCGCCTCTTTATAACGCTGTGTTGGGAATGGTCCCCAACCACCCACTGAGGTCCCCGGAGTGGGGGGGATCCCACATTGGAAAGGGCAGGCCTTGCCCTCGCCATGTGCTGAATTATACATGAAGCAGGGGGGGGACAATGGCGGGGTTTATCCAGTGCCTGCTGCAAGGAGGATTCCAGGAGGCTGGGAATGGCTGAGGGTGGGGATCAGCATCCCATTGACCCCATGGTGGTGGGAGATGGAGCAACCCTGGCTCTGTTCCGTGTACATCCCAGTTAAGGTCCTGATGCAGGGAGCAAATCCCTGCCAGGACACGCAGCGATGCCCCTGACCCATTGTGGGTCCCTTTCTTCCCCCGTATCCTGGAACGGACGTGCCAGGAGAGGGACGGGAAAGCCGCCGTCGCCAAGGGCGCTGTGACATTCCCTACAGCAACAGGAGCAGGGACAGAACAAAGGTGGCTCTGTCCTTCCCGGCCTGGAGATGCCAGCGGAGGGAGGATCCCGGCCTGGAGCGGGCAGAGCTCTCCCTGTGCAGCAAAGGGATTTGGGGAGATAAAAGGAATCCTTTGGGAGATGAAAGAGGAGGGCTTGGAGGTAAAAGAGGTTTCTGTTGGCTGAAGGTGCTGCCAAACGCATGGTGTGAGCACAGCGGGTCATGGCTCGACTCCCATCGGAGGCTGGATAGACCTGAGCTGTCCCTGTCAGCCATGGGATGGGGGTGAGGTGGGGACAGGGATGGGGATGGGGCTGGGAAAGGGATGGGGATGGGAACAGGATGGGATGAGGATGGGACTAGGACAGGGACCAAGACAGGGTTGGGGATGAGGAAAGGGACAAGGATTTGATGGGGATGGGAATGGGATTGGGAGAAGGAGCAGGGAGGGGGCTATGGGTGGAGTAAGGGATAGGGACAGGGAGGAGAATGGGATTGGGCCAGGGATAGGGGCAGGATGGGGATGGGAATGGGACTGGGACAAGGACCTGGGTGCAGACAGGGACGCGATAGGATGGGAATGAAGATAAGACTGAGACAGGGACCAGGATGAGGACAG